GCTGGACTTTATGTACACTAGTTCATTACATCATCATAACAGCCACGTGGGGGCTAGTGCTATTATTTCCACTTTAGTGATTTGGAAACTGAGGCTCAAGGAAGTTAAGTGACTTGTCTAAGGTGACCCAGCTAGAAAATGACAAAGCCAGGACTTGAACTCAGGTCTGGCTGAGCTCCTAAGTGCTAGGCCTCACGTGCCCTAGAAGAGCTTCCAGCTGCTGTCCCCAGGCCCTGGAGAGGCCCACAAGCAGAGGAAGAGCTTCGTCACCCTCTTGGTCCAGCCATCCCAGCCCTTCCAAGGAGAACCAGAGGCTACAGCTCCCTGGGTCTCTGATGTCCCAGGCTAGGGTGGGGGCATAGGATCTCCAGCTGTGAAGTCAGCCTCTTGAACCCAAGACGTTGGTTGCTGGGTTCAGGGCACTAGTTGGCATCTTCTAGAAGTCCATGGGGCTGGACAAGAGGTTCCTTGCCTGGAGGAGGGGCTTTGGGCCCTATATAGCTCTGCTTAGCACCACCTTTTTCACCCCTCAGGCCCTGGTCTATTCTATATTTCCTTGATGTCCCTCCTTGCTTGTCCCTCCCAAATTCCTGTGGTCATGGGAGCCCATGTACAGCCATCTACTTTCAGCCTGTAATCACCCTATAGGTCAAACTGGGCCCAATAACTCTAAGACATACTCCCACCCCCAGTCGCCTCCTTAGGGCAGGGGAGGATTTCAAAACATCATGTCTCAAGCATTCCTCTTTTTCTGACATTTTCCTGTCCCCAGCATAGAGCTAATAGAGTGCCATTGCCCAGGGGTTTAAAAGGGGTTAGGAATCTCCTCTGATAGGGGCCACCTGGCATGTAGGGATTTCAAGCACTTTGGGCATTATTTACCCTCCATCTTTCCAGAAACATACCAAAAGGCAGCAGGATAATGACTTTGCTGCTGCTACCCCATATTGGAGGTCAGAGTTTATTTCATTTTGTTTTTTCAAAAAGTGAAATGGTGTTCTTTTTTTTTTTTTTTTCTGAGTTGGGGTCTCACTGTCACCCAGGCTGGAGTGTAGTGGCATGATCACAACAATCACAGCTCACTGCAGCCTTGACCTCCTGGGCTCAGGCGATCCTTACACCTCTGCCTCCTGAGTAACTGGGACTACAGGTACACACCACCATACCTTTTATGATTTTTTGTAGGGACAAAGTTTCGCAATGTTGCCCAGGCTGGTCTTGAAATCCTGGGCTCAAGCTATCTGTCTGCCTTGGCCTCCCAAAGTGCTGGGATTATAGGCATGAGCTACCGTGCCTGGCCTTTTTCTTTTTAAACAGACATAGATTTTTTTTGTTTTTTGTTTTGATCAGAGTCTCACTCTGTAGCCCAGGCTGGAGTACAGTGGCATGATCATGGCCACCGCAGCCTCAATCTACTGGGCTCAGGCGATCCTTCTGCGTCAGCCTTCCAAATAGCTTGAACTACAGGCGTGCACCACCACGCCTGGCTAATTTTTTTGATTTATTATACAGATGAGTTCTCACCGAGTTGCCCAGGCTGGTCTTGAACCCCTGGGCTCAGGCAGTCCTCCCACCTCTGCCTCCCAAAGTATTGGAATTACAGGCATGAGCCACCACACCTGGCCGATACTTTTGAAATTCAAATGAAACAAGAATGTAGAAAGTGAACACTTTTCTCACTCCTCCAGTCCCGCTGCATACCCCTCACAAGATTACCACTGATAGCCACTTGGTATGGATCTTTCCAGTCTTTATTCTTTGTGTGTTTTCTTTTTCTTTCCTTTTTTTTTTTTTTTTTTTTTTTTTTGAGTTGGAGTCTCACTCTGTCGCCTAGACTGGAGTGCAGTGGCCGCTCCCGGCCACCGCAGCCTCAACCTGCTGGGGCTCTGGCGATCCTTCCGCCTCGGCCTTCCAAGTAGCTGGAACTACAGGTGCGTGCTACCACACCCGGCTAATTTTTTGGTTTATTGTAGAGATGAGGTCTCACCAAGTTGCCCAGGCAGGTCTCGAACCCGCGGGCTCAGGCTGTTTTCTTTTTCTTAAAACAGAACCACCCTATAGATAGTGCTTTAAGACTTGCTTTTCCCTTGCTATAGTACAAACTTCTCTTACAACCAAAATGTTTGTACATTGTCTACTTTTAAAATTTCAAATTAAAGAACAAAATCATGAAGGTTTTCCCCATGTCATTACATATTTCTCATGGTGTTATGTGAACGAACCCGAATATATTAACTCATTCCCCAGACGTGTTGTTGCCCGTGTTTTACTATTGCAGAGTTGTCGTGAATATCTTTGTCCACAGGTTTTTGTGCACTCATGTGGCTCTTTCTGTAGATTAAATCCTAGAAGGGTAATGACTGGGTCAGAGGGTCAGACTGCCCTCCGCAGTGTGCAGGGCCATGGGATGCTTGCTGGACGAGGCCTTTGGAGAAGCAATGCAGTATAGCGGTTAAGAACATGGGCTCTGAAGTTGGGCAGAATCCTTGTTCTGTGACTGCCTAGTCAAGTTCTTCAATCTCTCTCAGCCTCTATTTTCTCTTATATAAATTGGGACGATGAGGTTACCTACTGTGAGTATTATATGAGATAATACATGCAAAGCACTTGGTGCCTGGCACAAGTGTAGGTGCTCATGAAATGACCACAATTATTCAGTACTCTAGGAGCTTCGAGGCTGTTGGGGCTCTTGTTTCTATGGTGACGATCAATGCTCGAAGTTTCCTGAAGCCCCCAGTTCCAAAGGGCAGTAGGAGGAGTGCAGCTGAGAATGAGGCCTGGAAGCTGAGTGGCCTTGTCCTCACTCTGGTGGCAGCTCTCCCTCCCGTGTGCCCTCCCTAATGCAGTTCATGCTGGCAGAAACAGGAAGCCAGTGGGCTTCGTCTTCATCCCACCTCCCAGGAGATGGTGCAGCTGTGGCAGGCACAGGGTGGGGCCCAGGAAGACATAGCCTCAGAGGAAAGGCCCTGCTGACCCCACATCTCCCCCTCTTGGATACTGGACAGTCTCCCCAGTGCAGGTCCTTTTTCACAGAGGTGGGCTGCAAGGCTCCTGTGAAAATGAACGGTTATAGGAAGAGGGAAGTAGCTGTTTCCCCATCCCTCTCAGACCCCAGCAAAGCCTTGGCCATGTGAGCCTGAGCCTTGCTCTGAGGGGGCTCAAAGTTGGAGGGAAGGGCAGGGCAGAGCCAGCTAGGGCTTTGGCCTGGAGCTTTATTTAGGTCAGCAAGTCAGAGGCACTGAGTGTTTCAGGGAAAGGAAAGATGGGCCTGACAAGAGAATGGAAGGACATTTTGCTGAGGCCAGCTTTTTGTTTTTACATTTTTTTGAGACAGGATCTTTGCTTTGTTACCCAGGCTAGAGTGCAGTGGTGCAATCATAGCTCACTGTGTCCCTGAACTCCTCGGCTCAAGCGATCCTCCTTTCTCAGCCTCCTGAGTAGCTAGGGCTACAGGCGTGCACCCCCATGCCTGAAACATTTTTTAATTTTATTTTTTTGTAGAGATAGAGCCTTTCTATCCTCCCCAAACTAGTCTCCAACTCCTGACTTCAAGTGATTCTCTTGCCTCAGCCTCCCAGAGTGCTGGGAGTATAGACATGACCAGCTGCTGAGGCCAGCTTTGAAGGGCTGTCCCTTCCAGAGGCCAGCTTCGAAGGAGACAGGTCTGTTTCTCTTAGCAAACCTTTCTCCATACAAAGACAACTGTAGACAGTAATTTAGTTTGACCCGTGTTTATTGCTACCATCTCGTCTCCCTCCAACCCCCTCATATTTACACCCAGCCCCTTCCCCAAAGCTAGCTTTGACCAAAGTTCATGGTAGAAGGTCAAGAAGTGTGTCCTCTTAGCAGGCAGTCCTAAGATGTAGTGGGCACTGTTTGCCTTAAGGCTAGTCGGATCCCAGGGAAGGGTTACTCTGGGGATTCAGGGCACAAGGGAGGACCCCGCTCACAGACATTCTCCTTTCTTTCTGGAGCTCAGAACACACCAAAACCTTTAGCAAAGCAAAGTTGGGGTAGTGGACTCCTAATGTCAAGCTTAGTGCTTTCTTTCTTTGTAAAGACTCACACAAGTGGCCAAGTCTGGACCCAGACCTGCATCTGGCTTCCAAAGGACAGAACTGTCCTTTGGAAGCCAGGTTTGACCATCTTCCATCAGCCTTGTGGGAAGTCTCATTTGAGGGGGCTAGGAATGAAAGGGAGGGTGCCTATGGTATGAGATATGGGCATTGTTTTAAGCTGGGCGAAGTTGCAGCTTGTCCTGAGTTATGTGGGGAGGGATGGAATGGATGAACAGGAGGAGCCATTGAAAGCCTGAGGCCTTCCCAGCTCCCTCAATAGGGCCTCACTGGTGACCCAGGCCACAAGTAACAGGGGAGCAGACTTTTTTTGGGGGGGGGTTGACATCTCACTTTGTCGCCCAGACTGGAGTGCAGTGGCTGCTCCCGGCCACCGCAGCCTCAACCTGCTGGGCTCCGGCGATCTTCCTCCTCAGCCTTCCAAGTAGCTGGAACTACAGGTGCACGCTACCACACCCGGCTAATTTTTTGATTTATTGTAGAGATGAGGTCTCGCCAAGTTGCCCAGGCGGGTCTCGAACCCACGGGCTCAGGCAATCCAGGAAGCAGACATTTAATGTCACAGAATGTCAGAGCTGGCAAGGCCTTCAGTGACTACTCATTCTAACCCCACCCAATCTCAAGTCCAGAAAGACACTTGGTTCAAGTCTCATAGGATTTAGTGGCCAAACCTCTAGGAAGGTTAAGGAGAAGGAAAGTTGGAATGGTACATGTGGTTTTCTTCAAACCTTATTTGGGGCAGTTCAGATGTACTCGAGATCAGGTGGGCTCCTTTTAAACGGCCATCTTCCCTAGGATTTTGAGACTGACCTGAAACACCACCTTGGTCCCTTTTTCAGGAGCAGTATGACAGGCGGAGGTGGTATGGGGGCAAGGAGGGCTTAGGGGCCTTGGTGGTGAGGGACAAGAATGGGGGTCCTTTGTTGCCCCACTTGCTGTGGCCGTGATTAAGATGGGGGCGATGCCAAGAGGGGCTGTGCTGTCAGTCACTGGTGGAGGGCGGGGCTCAGGCAGGTAGGGCTTGCCCAGGGTGGCTCCTCATCCACTACAGCTGAGTCTTGGGCCCCCCTATGGGCCTAAATGCCCCAGGGAAGGCAGGGCCAGGCTCAGTGTCAGTCCTCTGGGCCTGGGCCGCTGAGGGGTGCAGGGCCCATCCCTGTGGCCTTGCAGCTCGGGCCCAGCCTCAGCCTGTGCCAACTCCACCTCAAGGTGCTTCAGCCAAGGAGAGACTATGCAGCTGCTCCTCAGTGCCGGCCAGCTCTGCCTCATCGCGCCCACTCTCCGAGCCCTCGAAGCAGCCAGAGTCACGCGGGATGTCCACCTTGGGTTCTGACACTGTGTGGGCCACTGGCTCCTGGCTGCTCTCGGCACCCTCTTCTGCCTCCTCACTGCCAGCTGCCAGGGGTGAGGGAGGGACGTAGAATATGGGGGGCTTGGTAGTTAGCTGGTGGGGGGCATCAGAAACCTCAGGGAGCCCCCTTGTGGGGTAAGAGACCTTGAGAAGTCCCCTAAAGGCAGTCTCTCCCTCTGGGCACCTCTTCTCACCACTTCCAGCTTAGAAGCAAGTGGGTGTTGTTTCTAGGCCTGCCCTAGGGCCCAGGAGCTCAACCATATTTAACACTAAGCTGGAGAGGGGTGATCCGGGCTTGAATTCTGGCTGTGTTATTACCTGGCTCAAAGGCCTCAAGTAAAGACATGCCTTACCTTCTCTGGCCTTAAGTCTCACCTTTGATCCAAAGGGGCGTCCAGCCTCACATCCCTACAACCCCCTTCTCCCACAAAGTTTCCCAGAGATACCAGTTCAAGTGGAAAGCATCTTCCCACTGCAGAGGGGCCCCAGGGCAGAGTGTGGTCAGGGGGCAGGGCCAGGGCAAGCCTCCCCTCCCTGGAATGCCAGCAGGCACCCTCCCACCCTGCACCAAAAGTCACTCACTGTCATAGTCCAGCAGCAGCTCAGCAGCCGTGAGCAGCTTGGCCCGGTGCTGCGGGTCCATGATGTTCAGCTCATTGAGGTGTGTTTCTCGCAGCTCTTTGAAGTCCTCCAGCGTCTGGTAACCATTGAGCAGCAGGGTGGATGTGTGCTCCTGAGGGCAGAGGCAGACCACTGACACAGCTGCTTAGAAGCCACCCCTGCCTAGGTCCTGTTCCCTACACATAGCTGTCATCCCCTGCTCCCCATCCCTGGGACAATTGTGCCTCCCTTGATACTAGATGCTAGTGCAGGCCCAAGCTCAAACCTCCAGGCCGATGCGCTCCAGCAGCTCATGCAGAGTCTTGGGCTTAGGCCTCTTGCCCTTGCTCTGTCGGCGGCTGGGGCGGGCAGGCCCCACGGCCTCCTCGGGCAGCACATCCACATAGATGAATTTGAAAGAGCCCAGCTTGCCATTGAGCAGACCCAGCCACGTGCCCACAGGTGGCTTTTCAATGATCTGGATCACATCTCCTTTCTGTGGGGGGAGAGAAGAGGGGTGGCCTCTTGGCTTCCACTGACACTGTCTTGTCCTGGCTCCGTCCAGCCTCCTTTATGGGTGCAGCCTGCCAGGGTCCGGAGAGGACCGGATGCTGGCCTTACCTGCAGTTTCAGCGAGTCGTGGTCATAGGGACTGGGAGTAAAGTCGGTGTGGACTCGTGCCCGGCCACAGAAGGGCCCTGTGTACAGGGGGGCAGGTGGTTCCTCCCCAAAGCTGCCAGAGCCTGGGCTGGGGCTGCAGAGCTCACTGCCTGCGGGAGATGGGGCAGGGAGGAGACTTACCTTGGTCCCAGGAGAGCTGAGGCAGTGCCCAGCGGGTGCCTTCCACTTGCCCTGGCCCTGCCTTCCAGATTTGTCTACAATTCCCAAGGGTACACGCTGGGGAAGGAAGCTGGTCTCTGGCAAGCCTTATGCTGCAGAGGGGATTCTGACCCATCCCCTCGGCCGTCCTGCAGGAACACAGCTTCATCTCTGGGGCTTTGGACTTGAAGAGTTGGCAACAGAAGGAGAAATGGCCCCCAGACCAAAGAATGGACAAATTGTGAGGGCCTCTAGAGACTGGGCCAACACCCTGATAAACAGATGAGAAAATCTGAGGCTACACAGGCCAAGTGACCTGCCAAGGTTTCTCAACTTATAATTGGCAGCACTGGGTCCATTTGACTCCAGGTCCCCTGACTCCCACTCCAGTGCTCCTTATACCCAGGAAGTCACATTCTACATTCATATTTTACTTTCTCTGCTTAGTAAGAATCAATGTTTAGTTACAACGTCACATGGAAACTCAGATGGACTTTTTCTCCCTGGGATAGGCAGAATTATGAACATTTTAAATGACTTTCAATGGGAAGCAGGGAGGTATCTGTGAAGTCAGAGAAAGAGCAGGAAACTTGGAATGGGCCTGAGGGGCAAGAAAGGCAGTGCTGACCAGGGCTGCAGCCCAGAGCCCACGGGCCTTCTTCCAGGCAGGGAACGTCTTGTTCAGGCCCATGGACTTCTAGAAGATGGCAAGTGGTTCCCTGATCCCAGAAAACCAAGGTCTGGGCCCAAGAGACTGACTCTTCACAGCTGGAGACCCTGCACCCCCACCCCAGTCTGGGAAGTCAGAGGCCCGGGAGCTGTAGCCTCTTGCTCCCTTGGAAGGGTGGAGATGGGCTGGTCTGAGAGGGCGATGAGGCTCTTCCTCTGCTTTTAGACCTCTCCAGGGCCTGGAAACAGTAAGTGGAAGCTCCTCTAGGGCAGATCTGAGTTTGACTGGGTCACCTCAGATAAGTCACGTAACCTCTCTGACACTGTTTTTACATCAATAAAGTGGAGATGATAGTATTGGCTCCATGAGCTTGTTGTAAAAGGACTGGGAAAGTTCCCAACAGGCAAACAGTAAGCATTTATTTCTCTCACTCCTCTCCCAGACAGCCTACTGGCATGGCCCTAACCCAGTCCTTTCCTCCAGATTCAGCAGGGGTCCCATCATGTCCCCTACTCACTCGTCGATGCCTGGCGGCTAAGCGCCGGGAGTTCACGCTCCTCCTGCTCGGAAAAGGCCAGCGCCATCTTCTCCGGGCCGGGGCTGTCCAGGCTGCAGTCTGGAGATGTCGGGGAGGCCGAGCCCTCCTCCAGAGTGTCTCCCTGCAGAGAAGGCAGGAAGCCTTGCTGGGGTGCGCATGGAGCCAAGGAAATGGGCCTGGGCTTGGAGAGGAGCTGGGGCCTGGCTCAAACCCCAGCTCTGCCACTTGCAGGCTGAATGACACTCTGAGCCCTAGCCTCCTCTGGTAAAAATGGGAATGACAGTCCTTGCCCTGCCTGCCTCACACAATGAGGCTCAGTCAGGGTGCCATGTGAATGTGCTTCAAGTGCTGATGTACACACAGAAAAGGCTGTGGTGGCAGAGCCTCGACTCAAAGCCATTGCTACAGTACAGTCAAACAGAAAATGGCACCAGGGAGGAAACTACTTGTTTTTGCCTGTGTGTGTGCCAGGCCTGCCTGCCATTTCATTGAATCCTCACAGTGACACTTGAAGGTAAGTGGTATGGTTGGCCTGAGTTTTACAGATGAAGAGTGACATTTCCAAGACATTCGGGAACCCACAACCTAGTCAGCCAGACTCCGGAGCGCCTACCCCCTCACCCCACCTCAGTGCTGTGGTAACTGTTTAACAGCCATCCCATGACTTGCCAATTCTTGTGTTGTAAATACTCCCCACCACAGCCAATGCCAGGCTACCATTGTGACGTCACTGGATGTGTTATTAGAAGAGATCGCTCGGCTATTTCCACCACACAAATAACCTCAACAATGCTGATAAGAGTAAAAAGTAGTGCAAGAATTAGTAAGTGATGAATTTTGAAGGTTTACTATATTACCTTCGTTTTCTGTGTGTTTATTTGTTTTGAGATGAGGTCTCACTTTGTTGCCCAGGCTGGTCTCAAACTCCCAGGCTCAAGTGATCCTCCCACCTCAGCCTCCCAAGTAGCTAGGATTACAAACTTGAACAATCACTCATGGCTTTATCACCTTCGTTTGAAATAGAATTTGTTTAATTGTAAGTTTATATAATTTGATTTTTTTTTTTTTGAGTTGGGAGTCTCACTCTGTCACCCAGGCTGGAGTCCAGTGGCACACTCATGGCCACCACAGCCTTGACCTGCTGGGCTCAGGCGATCCTTCAACCTCAGCCTTCCAAGTAGCTGGAACTACAAACACTATAATTTGATTTTTAATAATGGTTGTATTTTTTTAAGTGACTGGCAAAACTCCTGACAATTCGACCAACTGTTCTCTCAAGCTGGTGCAAGTTAGTACAAGCCGACTGTAGCACATCATTACCTCCCTGGCTCCTGTAAGAGCCATAAGCCCACCAGACTCCTGTGTGCTTTAAGCTGCTTGGGCTGTGCCTGCCCCATAACTGTCTGTTCCCCCACCCCCACAAGCCAGCCTTCTCTATTTTCTCTCAAAGGGACCCTAGGAGAGAAAATAGGCCTTTTCAATCCCAGGGGTTAGTTCCGAGCAAAGCTTTGAGGTGGATGGATTTGCCGTAGGCCATCTCATCTCCCTGTCAGGTGCCCTCCCCTCAGGCCTGCCTTCCAGGGAAGCTTCTGTTGCTTACATTTCCATCCGTCCTCAAAACCCACCCCTTTCCTAGTCAGCCTCCTGCCCCATCAGGACTGTGCCTAGCTGCCCATCCATGGCTGACTGAGCTCCCCCTCCTGTGTGAGTTTCCTTCTTGCATTGAGTAGGGTCTTTAGACCTGGGCAGTGGCTGTTGATGTGGCCCTGCTCACACCCTGCCAGAGCAGCACCCCTGGCCCCCGCCCTTCCCCGGTCCCCAGGCCTCACCATCTCTTCTGACAGGGCCTTCACCATCATCTTGCCCATCTTCCTGTTCATGGTTCGGGAAATCACTGCCCTCCACTTCTTCCCCAGCTTTTTGCCACTCTTCCCAGCATCCTCTGGGGTGGGGACACCTGAGTCATCTTCTGGAATCTGTGACAACAAAAGTGAAGGTCCAGGGATCCTGGTAACCCCGCCTGGGTTCAGGACTTAGGGTACAAGGAGGCCTCTTGGTCATGGCAGAGTCTGGGGGGATGGAATCGAGAGGCCCCCATCTCTTTCCACTTTAGCCCTAGCCCTGTTCTCGTCCTGATTAATTTATAAATAATTTGCTATTTAATTTGTAATTTAAAGAATGCAGGTGAATACTTGGTGTGGGGAGAGGTGGCTTTTTGTATTAAAGGAGGCTTTGCCCCAACAATCCTAACATCTCTTCCCTCATTCTCCCTTCCACCCCACTCCCCAACCCAGGTGGGGCCTGCAGTAAGATCCCCCAAGGAGCCTCTGAAACTCACGTTATCATCCAGATTAAACTCCTTCTCGCTCACTACGGGGGAGCTGGGTTTGGATTTGGCAAAATCCTTGAAGCTGCTGGAGCGCTGAAGGGAGAGCTGGAAGAAGCAGGGTGTCACAATTAGTGGGCTAAAATGGCTGCCTGAGGTCTGATCTGCCCTCCTTTACACACACACACACACACACACACACACACACACACACACACACACACCCTGGGCCAAAGTGCCTAGATATCCTTGGAGCTACCTGGTTTCATTCTATTCCTCACACTAACCCTGGCCACAGACCAAGCTCCTGACCTTGGGAACCTCACACCTTAGTCAGGCTTCAGACTTAGCCTGAATTTCCACTGGTACCTCAAGTTTGCTCCCCAGAATCCTGGATTGAAAGACTAAATGAGTCAGAGTAAATGTATATCTACTACCAGATGTATAGCCCAGCACATGCCAGAGCATCACCAGTTATGGAACAGAGAGCAAAACCCTCCCCAACCCTGTGACTCTGGCCTCCATGCCCTAGCCTGCTCCGAGCCAGGTCTCCAGTCACAACGATAGGAGCAAACATACTGGAGCCTCCAGCCTGATGAATTTATGTCCCAAGAAAAGCAGGACGATCTGACCAGAAGCCACCAAGACCCGGTCTTATACTTTCTGGACAACCATAGTAGAGGCTTACAGAAGGGGGCCACAGATTTGGGACACGAATGAATCATTTTCTCTTTATTTATTCCAGTTCAACCATAGCCACTAGCGTGATGAGCTGGCAACTGTGGCGTTGGCTGGTGTTTTGACTTTTAGGCATGACCTATTGTCTGTGTTGGTGAGACTGTTTTCGGGATATGAGCTTTCTTAACTGTATACGTATGTACATGCCAAGATAGCAGCCAGAAACTAGGGCAAGGCAGGTAAGCGGGGCAGGCCTAGACACAAGAAGTTGAGGCTGAGCCTGTATCAAGATAAACAGTCAAGACCAGAGATACACACAGGAACCAGGGTTCATAGATGGCCAGATAGATAGAGGGGGATTGACTGCAGACACCCGAGACAAAGGCTTGAGGAACCGAAGCCCCAAACACACACAAAGCTGAGGGTTTCACATCCTCTTTCCTCCTAAAGGGAGTGTGTGTCCCCAATGACAAATCCCTAGGGTAAGGACAATATCACCTGTCCCCCAACACACACGCAATTGGCCCCAACTGTTGGGAACTGCAGTGTAGCAGTTTATCACTCTTGGTGAGTCTTGACCAAAAGTGAGTCAGCAATCGGGGGTCAGAGGTCACATATTCCTAGAGATCACAGCAAAGCAATTGACCAGAAACTAGGTCAGTGGTCATGTCTAACAGACACTGGCACCATCAGGGCCTCAGGGGTGGGGTGCCTGCAGTCTCAGGCAGAAAGCTTCCTCTGTGTCACACTGGGGAGCTAGAAAAGGGGACTGTGAGTGGCATCGGGAGGTGATAGCATGACCGCGGGGTGACCACTCTGGTTCCCATATATCTCCTCCATCCTCCTTCCTTGGTTTTCCTCTCCCACTATTCTTTCCTCTTTCTCTCCCTTTCTTTCCCCTTTTCTCCTCCACCTTCTGTTTATTTCCTCCTCTTGTATGGCTAGGATGCAGCTGCCTGGATAACTTCCTTCTCTTATTGCATGGAAAAGAGGGAACAGAGAGAGGGTGGGCACCAGGCTGGCCTGGGCCCAAGAAGAGCAGGCTGGGCTGCTATTTATAGGCTGGTGGGGCCTATTGTGGCCGCCTTTCCACCACTCTTCAGCCTGGTTTGAGGACCAGGAGGCTGAGAGTCGCCCCTGAAGCCCCAGGGACTGGTGAGGCTGGAAAGCAACCAGGAGGGCTGGTGGGGGCCGGAAGTCGGCTTTGTTGGGGAAGAGTAAGCCGGCTGCCCTCTAATCGAAGCTCTTTCCCGAGGCCTTTTCCTGCCATTAATCTGCAGTCTGGGGACTGGGAGGAGGGCCTTTGGCTCCCAGGCCTCTGTGTGAGGGCCTCTCTGTCCCAATTTTAGCCACAAGTGGGAGGGGACAATCCCAAAGGACCATGGAAATGGTGCTGGTGCTTGGGCTCAGTTGGCCACTCTCAGCCCTCGGAGTTGGAAAGGACTAATACATGTTGTTCGGGTGACCAAAGGTGAGGACTGATCAGGGTGGCCTTTAGCCAAGCCTACCAACCTCAGGGGGAGCCTCGAACTCCTGCATTTCAGTGAGTGATGACTTTGACCCAGAGATGAGTTGAAATCTTTGAGCCCAGTTGGGTTTTCTGCCTGGACCCCATTTGGGGTGAGGACTTCCTGGGAGTCATGCCTGGCAGGGGAGAGATACTGTGGGCCCCTTTTTCATGTCTGAGGGGAGCGTGTGGGCCTCTTGGGAAGAGCAACATTTCTCTTTGTCTGAACTCAGACATGACTGAGTTCAACTCTGGGATGTGTGACCTCAGGCCAGTTATTTAACCTCTCTGAACCTCAGCCTCTCCATCTGACATCAGACAGTAAGGGTTCACATCTTGGTTATGCCACGGACGAGCTGGCAAAGCTGGGTAAGTTACTTAACTTCACAAGGCTTCTGTTTCCTCATCACCTCATGGGGCTGTTGGGAGGACGACATGAGTATACATACAGTGCTTAGGACATTGTCTGACACAGCAGTCCCTTGTGGAATGTCGGTTTATGCTTAGCCTTTCTTTTTTGTTTTTGTTTTTGTTTTTGGTTTTTTTTGAGTTGGAGTCTCACTCTGTTGCCCAGACTGGAGTGCAGTGGCCGCTCCTGGCCACTGCAGCCTCGACCTGCTGGGCTCTGGCAATCCTTCCGCCTCAGCCTTCCAAGTAGCTGGAACTACAGGCGTGCGCTACCACACCCAGCTAATTTTTGATTTATTGTAGAGATGAGGTCTCACCAAGTTGCCCAGGCAGGTCTCAAACCCGCGGGCTCAGGCAATCCACTGACCTCGGCCTCCCAAAGTGCTGAGCCACTGAGCCCGGCCTATGCTTAGCCTTTCAGACGATCCATCTCTAGACTCTCATCCTGGGCATTTCCCCACCTGGAATATTCTGCCCTTCTCTCTGTCAACCGTGGTTTTCCCCCTCCTTCTGATTCCAGTTTATGTGGGAACAACCCAAATGCCTATCAGCTGTAGAATGGATGAATTATTCATGGCAGAGTCGTACAAGAGAACAGAGACCAGTCATGAGATAGTCCAGCTATCCCTGACAATATGGATGAATCTCACAAGTGCACTGTTGAGTAAAGGGGCCAGACGCCAAAGAGTATCTCCAATATGGTGCCACCTGTATAAAGCTCAAAGCCTACAGAGCTCAGCCATGCTTTTGGAAGTCAGGATAGCAGATATCCTGGGGGCAGGGAGGCATGTAGCAACTGGCAGGGCATTAGGGAAGCTTCTAGACTTCTGGAAGTGTTGTTTCTTGATCTGGGTGCTGTCCACATGGGGATAGTCACTTGATGGAAACTCATCGAGTGGACTTCTTGGTATTGAACTCCAGCTTAAAAGGCAGCACCCTTGTGTAAATCCTCCCCTGATCACTCCCTCAGAGCCTCACACTGCCCCAGGTGGCATCCTCTTCCCCTGCTTCCTGAGCAAACTTGGCTTTCCCCAGGGGTCTCCTGAACCACCCCCTTCGCTCCTTCAGAATACCAGGTACATCCTGAGCACCCTGTGAGCTCTGGGGCCCAGCCTCTGTGTGCAGGAGAATCCAGCAACAAGGGGCCAGATACCTCCCATGTGCCCGGCACCTTGCCAAGCACTTCCTGTGTGCCAGTCCACTCCAGCCTCACCACAGCCCTGCGTCACATTCCTGCCTTGCAGTCATGCCAAGGAGCTTGGGTGGCATCCTGTGGGCAGTGAGGAGTGCATACTGGTATGGGGGTGTCATGCTGGAAGTGTGCTATATGGAGGGATCCCCGGGCAGCCTGGGAGTGTGGTGAGGTAGGGCCATCTTTAGGGGAGGCAAGTCCAGGACAAACCCCTTTCCACTTCCTCCATCCCAACACTGGCCTTTGGGTGACATCTGACAAAGGGAATGCAGAGCGAGAGCTCGAAGGGAGTGAACGTCTTCTAAAGGCATCCAAGGGGTGTGTTCCCTGACCCTGGGGGCCTCTCCAGTCCTTCGTGATCCATGGTAGGGGCCATGTCCTGGCCCCACCATCCTGGAATGCCTGCCCTGTCACTGTTCTGCTGGCTGGAAGGTCACTCATTCCACAGCAATCTGGGTTTGCCCCGAAGAGCTCTCCTGCTGATGGGTTGAGACTTTTATGCTCACCAGACTTGCAGTGCCTTTTGTATCAGCAGGAAGATAAGGGAGTGGAGAGAGGAGGAGTTAAGACCCCGGAATCAGACAAACCTCAGCTTGGATCCCTGTTCAGCAGCTTACTAGCTGTGTGACCTTTGGCAAATTACTTCACCTCTCTGAGCCTTGGGTGTCAAATAGGGTAATGACAACATCTGCCCCTACCTTACAAGGCTGTCATGAGGAGACAATAAGCTAAGAGATGCATAGCACAGTGCCTGGCATCTGATGAGCTCTCACTTGGTGGTGGCTTTTGGTGCTATCAAGGCATATTTTCTCCGCTTCAAGGCTGGCATCATGGCTCCTTCTTTGCAGTGTGGCCCTACCCCTGCCCATGCCTACAGCATGCACCCTCTTTTGTGTATACATGCAACAGAGTGTGCATGTCTTCTTGTTTCTGGTGATCTGTACAGCCTCCTGAGGAGAGCAGATTAGGAGTGATCCTCCTTTTCAGAGATGAGGAAATTGAAGCCCAAAGAAAGTCAACGAACTCTCCAAGGTCCTACAGCTAGAATGTGGTAGGATTCCAGCTCCGCTTTCTCATCCCCTGCCTGGCACATTCTCCCTTGGCAGGCCCAGGAGGAGAAGCAAGGGCAGAGTCTGGCCACTGCTTCCGGGTCTGGGGAAGATGCTGTCTCTACCTTCTGGAAGCTTGGCTTTTCTTTCTTTCTTTCTTTCTTTTTTAGTTGGAGTCTCATTCTGTCACCCAGGCTGGAGTGCAGTGGCACACTCACGGCCACTACAGCCTCGACCTGCTGTGCTTTGGTGATCCTTCCACCTCAGCCTTCCAAGTAGCTGGAACCACAGACATGCGCCACCACGCCCAGCTAATTTTTTGATTTACTGTAGAGATGAGGTCTTACCAAGTTGCTCAGGTTGGTCTCCAACCCCTGAGCTCAGACAATCCTCTCGCCTCTGTCTCCCAAAGTGCTGGGATTACAGGTGTGAGCCACTGCGCCCGGTTAAGCTTGGCTTTTCTAAAGGCATTTCCACACTCTGGGACTAGATGGGTGTGTGGAGGCAAGCTCACCCTGGCTCTGGAGCCTGGCACAGGCTCTGGAAGGAGTGAGGGTGGGGCTTGCCTGACTACCCTCCCCTAAACGATATGGACTTCACAGTGCCACATAGGCCTTGCTTCTTCCTGGAGAGGCCTGAGGGAAATCCCAGAGGTCCACCTGCCTGCCCAACACAGAATGTGTTCATTGAAGCTGGGAAAGAGGAAGGGGACTTCTGGCTTCTATGTGCCCCCGGGTACCTCTGCTTGAGGTGGTGGCACAGGATCCCCGTGTCAAAGTGTCAGCTCTTTCTCATACTCCTTCCTCCAGCTCAGTGCTCCTGGGGTGTGAGGCCAGAGGTGTCTGTAGATCTGTAGAGAGGAGTCGCTGCTTCCCACCCCCACCAGCCAGAGAGCAAGGGGAAGTGGCCCTGCTCACCCAGGAGTGACAGCCAATGGCAGGTCTGCTGGGCCTAGTGCCGTGCAGGGTTTGGATGGGGGTGACAGAGCCGTGTGAAGATTCACTAACCTCTTCCCTCCCCCGCCTACCACTGTGACCTTAGAGAAGCAGCTAGGGTGGAGAGAGTACAGCCGGAAGTGGCAGCCACCCCAGAACCTGAGAGATGGGGCAGGATGCACACCCCAGTGCCCCGAAGCTCAGTCTTTCAGCTGCCTCGAACTCTGCCTGGAGCTGCTCCCCTGACAAGGGGGTTGTGCCACAGAGCACCTGGGCTGAGCACAGCCTGGGTCTCTTGGACCTGGGTCAGGCCCACTTTGGGATGGTCCTAGGAAAACCTCAAATCCAACCAGAGAAATTTCAAAAGTCCCCCTGGATATGCAGGATATACCTGCTGATTACCTGGAAGAATCCTACAGTGGAATCAAATAATTAAGTCTAGAAATTTCAAAATCCTCAAATCCAACCAGAGAAACTTCAATCTGACAGAGCATTCAAGGAATCTTCTAGTCTGGCCTCTGCTTCAGGAAGATGAACACCTTGGCCATCAATGCCAGCTGCTTCTCCTCCTGGCCTTTAAAATCCCTCCTGCTGAATTTTTCCTCCTCAGCCCTCACTCCTACTCATCATCTCATCAGCTTCGTTTCTCATGCCTCACAATGTCTCCCTGCCCAGGAAGGACTGGTATGTCCCCTGTGTCTCACTGCAGTTCTGGAAGCCCTTCTCCCCAAGACTGAAAATCACCTCAGGCCCCATCTCCAGGTTGGCCTTATCTCCAGTGAGCTTAGGAAGCTGCAATAGAGTGGAGGCCAGAGGTCAGGGTCTGGGCCATGGCCAAAGGGTGGGGACCCTGTGAGCATCGTGGCTGCGAGCTGGGTGGCCTAGTGGGGCCCTTTGCACGAGATGGCTCCTGAGACGCCATGCTCGAGCAGAAATGGTGGCAGGTCCAGCATAGGGGAGAGAGAATTAGGTACAGTCTTAGGATTCAGCTTGAACATTGAACATTGTATTTTGTCATTCTCAGATTCTAATCTAGGATTCTGGCCCCAAATTTTGGATCTTTATCCCATCCCTGATGGGTCAAATTCTATACCTCTAGATTTCTAGGAGTCTATTCCGTAACTCTGCTGCTCCAGAATTTTAAAGTATTTTCTGTACTTCTGTTACTCTTATTACACTTGGGTCTCTGACCTGTTGCCCTCTGGGTGAATGGCCCTCACCTCGTACTCAACATATAGCCCAGGCTTTGGTTCTTCCCACTTCTAAAAGTCCTGGGTCCAGAGAGCAGAGGAGGGAAGGAAGCCGTGAGTTCCCAAAGATGCTCCTCACCTTTTTCTTCTGAGTGGGCTCCTTCTCGCTGGCATTGGAGGGCTTACGGCGCAGCATGGTCCTCCACCCTGGGAGACTCTATTCCTGCTCTCCTGGGTGTCAAGATGCAGAGGCCTGTTGGGAAGCCTCGCCAGCACCGTCCGGGGGGCACGGCATGGACCGAGCCTCCGGCTGCCACTCTGACTGCTCCAGTAGCAGCTTAGGGGTGCGGGCCATGGACACCCAGTGGCAGCAGCATACAGGAAGCCCTGCCACGTGACTTGCTCTTACAGCAATCGCAGCCCCTGCTGGCCCCTAGGGAGGAAGGAAGTCCCAGCTTCAGTCTCCAGAGATTCTGCTGCAGACGGCTCTTGGGTTGAGCAGTCAGAAAAAAGTCCCTACCTTACTGTCAATCATAACCAGTTATTCTGCCTTGTATCTCCAGAGGTGGCCAATCAACTTGACATTATATAACCTACCCAAGCCTTTTATCTCACTGACCAGAATCCACAAGTTGGACCATCTCTCTGCCTGTTGGATCAATGTTCTTGGTCAACTTGCATTTCCAAGATCATCACTGCCACTGTGGCCATCACCCCTGCAACCACCCCACTGCCATCAACGCGCCAAAAGCCATCATCACTACAGTAATCACATCTACAGTCAACTTTCCTCAGCCATCACCTCTACAGTCATCACCATTGTCACTATCACCCTTCCAGATGTTACAGCCAACCAGCCCCATGACCCTCTCATCCTTATGGTCATTGGCCCTACAATCACCATCACATCCCTGCAGCCGTCGGCCCTACAGCCATCAGCACACTTGCAACCATCATCACCAGAGCAGACACCCCTCCGGTCTTCACGAGTACATTTATCAGCACCACGGCTGAAAAGCACTTGCAGGCAACTCCACACCACCAGCAAATGTCCCATCCAACAGACATTTATGGAACACCTATGCAGTATGTTCACTTTGTGAATTATCTGTAGCAGATTTTAATAACTTTAATGACTTGTTACAAAAGCAGTTTATATCCATCATACACAATTTAGCAAACACAGATAAACATTTTAAAAATTCTCCATCACTGTCTTCCATACTGTTTGAATGAATACCCTTTTCTGTTTTAAGCATCTATCTACTCTCTGTCTATACACATTTTTTCTTTACACAAAATCATACTGAACAGAATCTGCACAGAAACCAGATCGTTGATTTGGGGGAGATGGAGAGGGGAAGAGAGGGAGAGATCACAAAGGGGATAGGGAACTTTTGGGAGTGATGGATATTTTACTATCTTGATGGTGATGATTTCATGGGTGTATGTGTATGTCAGAACTTACCAAATTGTATACTTTAAATATGTGGTTTGCCAGGCATGATAGCTCACACCTATAATCTCAGCACTTTGGAAGTCTGAGGTGAGAGGATTGCCTGAGCCCAAGAGTTCGAGCCAAGCCTGGGCAATTTGGCGAGACCTCATCTCTACAATAAATAAAAAAATTAGCTGGGTGTGCTGGTGCATGCCTGTAGTTTCAGCTACTTGGAAGGCTGAGGCGGAAGGATCACCTGAGCCCAGCAGGTTGAGGCTGCAGTGACCGTGAGCATGCCACTACACTCCAGCCTGAATGACAGAGTGAGACTTCAATTAAAAAAAATGTGGTTTATTGGTTAGGTGTGGTGGCTCATACCTGTAATCACAACACTTTGGGAGGCGGAGGTAAGAGGATTGTCTGAGTCCGTGGGTTTGAGACCAGCCTGGGAAACACGCCAATATTCCATCTCTACAATAAATCAAAAAATAAGCCAGGTGTAGTGATATGTGCCTGTAGTTCCAGATACTTGGAAGGTTGAAGTGGAAGGATTGCCTGAACTCAGCAGCATGCCACCACACTCTAGCCTGGATGACAGAGTGAGATTCCGACTCAAAAAAAAAAAAATATGTGGTTTATTGTAGGTTCACTTTGCCTCAATAAAGCTGTTTATTTTTTAATTTTTGAGTCAGGATCTCACTCTGTTGCCCAGGCTAGAGTGCAGTGGCACGATAATGACTCACCACAGCCCCAACCTCCTGAGCTCAAACAATCTTTCTGCCTCAGCCTTCTGAGCAGCTGGGACTACAGGTGCGCCATCACATCTGGAGAATTTTTTGATTTTTTTTTTTTGTAGAGACGTCTTGCTATGTTGCCCAGACTGGTCTTTAACTCCTAAGCTCAAGCAGTCCTCCCACCTTGACCTCCCGATGTGCTGGGATTACAGGCGTGAACCACTTTGCCCGGCTACAGCTGTTTCTAAGTTTTTAAAATTAAAAAAGGTCACACTTCACACTGTGGGTATATGCTTTTCACACTGAACACAGTACCATTACGATTGTCTCATGCTATGAAGTATTCTTCAGCTATCGGATTTGTAAGGGCTACTGGGCATTCCATTGTGTGGTTGGGCCATGCTTGCTTCACCAAGCCCCTACTAATGAACTTGGGTTGGCTTAAACTTGTGTATTATTATTCACTGAACATCCTTCAGGTAAATATTCACATTCACGGTTTTTTCCTCAGGAGAAATATCCAGAAGGGGAATTATTGGGGTAAAAGGTATGCGCCTTTTTAAGGCTTTCGGTTCTGAGGCATTTGTGAAATCCTAGGCTGGTCCACTCCTGTTTCTAAGGTGTTCTTGTGACTTCCTCCTTCAACCCTGCTTCACACCCTCGGACAATCCATCTGTTGTCGGTGTGAGCTCAGGAAAGACAAGGTGCTTCTCTCCCAAACTGAAACCATACTTCCTCTGGTTCTGGCCTACTCAGCCTGCCAGGCAGCCTCATGGAACGATTCCACGCCCCCAGATCGCTTCCCCATTGGCTTGCACTTTCCAGCCTGAAAGTCCCAGGTCACCCAGGGGTATGAGCGTGGTAACTGGCTAAGGCATTGCGGCATGTGCAGGAGCTTGGTGGCCGGGTAGGGGACCCAGCCGACCTTTGGGGCTCGGCGTGATCAGGGCCGAGAGGGCAGCCCCAGCGGGATCCGGAATGGGGGTCGCTCCTGCCGGGCCTGGGGCATTTGGATCTCGGCCGCCGGGAGCCGCGAGGGAGGGAGTAGCTCGCAGAACCTTCCCAGCCTTCGCAGCGGTGGCGCGTCCCAGGCCCGGCGCGCAGGATGTGCCCGCTTCCTGTTTGCTCAGCCCCAGCAGCGACCGAGATCACACACTAACCGCAGAGTCTTCAAAGGCGCCAGCAAACCTGGGCCGCGGAGGCCTGGGAAAAGGCAGCGAGGGGAAGGTGAGGGCGCTCGGAGAGAAATGCAGAGACGTGACCAGCCCCCAGGACAGATGGGAGCGGGTGTTTTCAGCCCTCGCTCCTTTTCAGATCCTTCTCCTTTTCAGATCTGTCTCCTCTGGTCAGCGACACCTCCTCCCTCCTTGAGTGGGGGGCCGTCCAGGAACCTCCTGTCGGAACTTGCCTCCCCCCAGCTTTTCCTGGCGGAATCCCAGTAGGTCAGGACCCAGCTGGCTAATGGGCCCTAAATACTTGTTTAATAGGTTTCCCCTTCCGGGCAGCATATTTGCATTTTATAGGTTTTTCCAGGTACAAGGAGCCCTCAGCTAAAAAAAGTGACCCGGGTCAGTAGTTCAGTGAAAGAGGCCTCTGTAAACTTGATAATGGGCTGGCAGGCAGAATCTAGAAGCTTGCTGTGGGCGCAGCCTTGTGCTAGGCACTGTGAGGAGGTACAAATAAATAGTTGTCAAGGTCCCTTGTACCCAGGAGTTGACATCCTAGGTGAGGTGGCAAGCTTACATTTGCCCAGCACTTGCTCTTTGCCAAGCACCACCATCAAGCACTTCACAAATGTCATTTAATCCGCCACAACCCCCCAAGGCAGGTCGTTTCAACTGGGATAAATATTGTAAAGCTGTGCCCAGACGTATGAATTTATGTCCTTGATTTAGCGATCTGAGCCCTCAGGGTGGATGCAGGACTGCCAAAAACACAAATTGAAGGCTGTATTCGCATACAGCAGCACCCCCCCACACACACCAGCACACCCAGAGAGAGTCTCATTTGGTGGATGATCATGAGTGGTATATTTGGGGCAGGTGGGATCCAGACACGTGTGAAGGCATTTCTCACTCTCTGAATGGATACACTCCTGATTTGAGATAGAGTCTGGATAGCAAGGGATACCTATATTTGGGTAAACTTCCCCAAAGATTCTTATTCCCATTTTTTCTCTGCCATCCATCTCTTCCCTCATCCAGCAGAAAATTATAATGCTGCATGACAGGTGGTGGGCTTTCCAACAACTCCAGAAATTAGGCACTAGTGTTATCTCCGTTTTCCAGGGAGGAAGTTGAAGACCAGAGAGGTTAAGCAAATTGCTCAAGATAGCATAGCTACTAAGTTGTAGATCCAAATCTTAAATGCAGATCTGGTGTTGGTCCAGGGCCCACGCTGTTAACCACTCGGGCTACAGTGCCTCTGATGCAGAGTTCCTGAATGTGGAGGTGAGAGAATTGTGGGACCCTCTGCTCGTAAGCAGTCCTCTCTTGGCACCAAATGCTGGTTTGGGTGCCACACGTGGTGCCACAGGGCCACCTTGAAGCAGGCCTCAAGGGGAGTGAGCAGGACAAGGAGGGCTGTAATAGCTAGAGCTGATTCAGTGGGGGTGGAGAATAGGGAAGCCCTTGTCAACATGTGAAGTACTAAACACCAGTCACATTTGGCCTAGAGGGTTGGGGTGGGGGAACAAGTGGCTAGGGATGATGGGGAAGAGAGGTTTGGGTTCATTGGAAGGAATAAAAATTGGACATTCAGAAGGTACTAGTTCAGCCTTGGTAAGTAATGATCTCTCTCTCTCTTTTTTTTTTTTTTTTTTTTGAGTTGGAGTTTCACTCTGTAGCCCAGGCTGGAGTGCGCAGTAGCATGCTCATGGCCACTGCAGCCTCAACCTGCTGGGCTCAGGTGATCCTTCCACCTCAGCCTTCCAAGTAGCAGGAACTACAGGCGTGTGCTACCATGCCGGCTTGTTTTTTGATTTATTGTAGAGAGGAGGTCTCACCTGCCCAGGCGGGTCTCGAACCTGCGGGCTCAGGCAATCCACTCACCTCAGCCTCCCAAAGGCGTGGGATTACAGGCTGAGCCACCGAGCCCGGCTATGATCTCTCCATCTCTAGAAATATCTAAGCAGAGACCACCTAGTCCCTTGAAGATACCTGAACATTTCCAAGGTGTAGCCTGGCCCATTAGCAAATTTCATGCCTGTCACCTTAAGCAAGGAGATC